TCTCTGTGTGATGAGTCTGTGGGTCTCTGTGTGATGAGTCTGTGGGTCTCTGTGTGATGAGTCTATGGGTCTCTGTGTGATAAGTCTGTGGGTCTCTGTGTGATGAGTCTTTGGGTCTGTGTCTGATGAGGCTGTGGGTCTGTGTGATTTGTCTATAGGTGTCAGTGTGATGAGTCTATGGGTCTCTGTGTGATGAGTTTATGGGTCTCTGTGTGATGAGGCTGTGGGTCTCTGTGTGATGAGTCTATGGGTCTCTGTGTGATGAGTTTATGGGTCTCTGTGTGATGAGGCTGTGGGTCTGTGTGATGAGTCTATAGGTGTCTGTGTGATGAGTCTGTGGGTCTCTGTGTGATGAGTCTGTGGGTCTCTGTGTGATGAGTCTGTGGGTCTCTGTGTGATGAGTCTATGGATCTCTGTGTGATGAGTCTGTGGATCTCTGTGTGATGAGTCTGTGAGTCTCTGTGCCATGAGTCTGTGAGTCTCTGTGTGATGAGTCTATGGGTCTCTGTGTGATGAGTCTGTGGGTCTCTGTGCGATGAGTCTGTGGGTCTCTGTGTGATGAGTCTGTGGGTCTCTGTGCGATGAGTCTATGGATCTCTGTGTGATGAGTCTGTGGATCTCTGTGTGATGAGTCTGTGAGTCTCTGTGTGATGAGTCTGGGTCTCTGTGTGATGAGTCTGTGGGTCTCTGTGTGATGAGTCTGTGGGTCTCTGTGTGATGATTCTGTGGGTCTCTGTGTGATGAGTCTATGGGTCTCTGTGTGATGAGTCTATGGGTCTCTGTGTGATGAGTCTATGGGTCTCTGTGTGGTGAGTCTGTGGGTCTCTGTGCGATGAGTCCCTGGGTTTTCACACACAGCACGGTTAGCTACGTACGGTGCGAAAGAAATTCAACACACACACATAGCACGGTTAGCTATGTACGGTGCGAAAGACGTTCAACACACACACACACATAGCACGGTTAGCTATGTATGGTGCTAAAGAAGTTTTAATTTCCCATTCTTTCCCTTCTCTCTTCCCTTTACTGGTTCCCTTCATATTCAAACGAACACCATTGTTATCGTTACATACCAATTTATATTCACTATATATTATTGTTTCACCAGTGCAACAGACGTAGGCTTTCCCCGTCCACCAGTCGTTATCCACAATGGAGGTTTTGACTTAAAACTTTCGTGACTGCACGAATTCATATTGTTGTTTCTTTCGATAAAGTCACGTGGGTAGAAAATATAAATAAAGTAAAAAATAAAATTAATAAAAAATTAAAAACAAAAGCATGAATAAAAGTTTATTTTTATTTTTTTCCATATTAATTAAATTGCATTTTTATTTTCTATCCACGTGACTTTACCGAAAGAACCAAGAAAAATTTTGTTTTTCGAAAACGTTTTTTTTTAATTGGGGAGCGGGGGAAGGGGGGGGGGATAGAGCACGTGACATGTGCAACGTGGAGTCGTTCAACCCGCCACCGCCAGGCCAACACGGACAATCTTATACTGGTAGGAACGAAGTTGTAAACTGAGTGTACCAGCCTGCAATAGATTAATGTGTCCGTCCGTCCCCTTTCAATACTTTAACGAAGTGAAATCTCGTGCTGTTGGGGTGTAAAATCAGCAATGGACGGCGCAGAGACTTGTCCTACCAGCCCACCCTGCAGGGACCTGTTACTAGGGCGGGGGGGGCGGGGGGGGGGGGGCGGGGGGGGGGGCGGGGGGGGCGGGGGGGGGGGGGGGGGGTCCTCACTTGCGCACATTTCTTGCAAGCCATCCGGCTACCGTGAGAGATTCGTTCATGAGGCTATCCGCGTATACGAACACAGAGACGATTTCAACCGAGAAGATGGATTCTGGCTTAGCAATCATTGGAAGGATTCGATGAACCATTTCCGGTCTTAATTGATTGTTCGCGCCTAAGGTGGCTTTCAGACGGCATACATTAATTTTTCGTCTCCCCCCCCTCCGCTTTTCCGAACACAGATGGACTCGTCCATCTGAATGACTGCCAAATCGCTCTTTGTGGTACTAACGTTGAAAAAAAACCCGCCACTTTTTTCAAATTTTCCTGCTGTAAGGTTTTCACACCTGATGATGATTGCTCGTGTTGCAGTCGAAACGTCGCGATAATTTTATTGTTTTATATTTTTATTATTTTATTGTTTCCACTTCTACGTGGTGGCGACTTTACCGAAGGAACCAAGAATATTACAATTCTTGTCGTTTAGCTATTCCTCGGACGTCTCTCTGAAGTGTTCCCCTCATCACGAATTGGAGTTGGGGGGGGGGTGACGCCGGTACCGTAACGACACCGTGCGCTCAGCAGGGTTAGGGCTGAGGAGGAGGGAGGGGGGGGGCGCGGGGGGAGGGTGGGAGGGGGTCGGGTCACGTGACAATGACATAGCGGGGGGTGTTATACTGGTAGGAACGAAGTTGTAAACTGAGTGTACCAGCCTGCAATAGATTAATGTGTCCGTCCGTCCGTCCCCTTTCAATACTTTAACGAAGTGAAATCTCGTGCTGTTGGGGTGTAAAATCAGCAATGGACATCGCAGACGACTTGACATTACGTCTTATTGCACCCAACGTTTGGAAGTCACGTTATCTCATTTGCGAACTTCGCTTTTGGGGACGTGGAAAATTCACACACAGCCCACGGCCGAATACCATTTGCGAGGCGAAGTTCGAAGGCACCGTGACGTTACTTTGCCAATGTTCCTACCAGCCCACCCTGCAGGGACCTGTTTATTAACTAGCTTTACTACCCGGCTTCGCCCGGGACTTGGATTCACCACGCCCGGCCGCCTTTGTCCACACAGTGGCGATGTTCACACAGCACACCAGTTACTCGTTTGATGCCGAGTCGACCTAGGTGGAGGCCCAGGACCGGTAAAAATAATCGTCACCGGCGGTGGCCGTGAGCGGGAATCGAACTCGGGTCGCCGGGTTCGTAGCGCGGCGTTAGCGCTAAGCGCTACGCTACAATGCGTTACACAGACACACACACAGACACACACACACACACAGACACACACACAGACACACACACACACACACAGACACACACACAGACACACACACATACACACACACACACAGACACACACACACAGACACACACACATACACACACAGACACACACACACAGACACACACACACAGACACACACACAGACACACCCACATACACACACACACACAGACACACACACACAGACACACACACATACACAGACACACACAGACACACACACACAGACAGACACACACACATACACACACAGACACACACAGACATACACACATACACAACAACAACCGCCATTCGCCACTAAGTGGCGGTGACGTCACCACGACGCTTGTGCCAGGCCATGTGCACCCTGAGGCCACGTGAAGTGTCGAACGCCCGCTGGCAGGAGGTCACGGGGCAGACCCAGGTGCCACGGGTCGACTGACTGAGATGACTGGCTGATGCACCACCTGTGCCCCCTACTGTGCCAACCTGCTGTGCTTTAGCCACCCGGCGCTCCGCTCGTTGTTGTGAGCGTCGCTCCTCCGCCCTCCGTTGTTGTTGGAGGGCGAGTGCCTCCAACTGCCCAGTAGCATACTTCACGAGCCTCCTCCACAGTGGCCGATCTTGACACCGCTGGTACCAGTCATCGGAAAGTCCACTCAGCTCCACGTCCTCCTGTACCACATCACTCCATCTCTTCTCTAGCCCGTGCCGCGCCCGCTTAGCCCCCTCAATCCGGCCAAACAAAAGCTGTTTCGGCATGCGGTGGCTGGGCATGCGGGCTACATGACCCAGCCATCGCAGCCTTGCCCGCCGGAGGAGCTCACCGATGGGACCCTGCCCAGATCTTTCAAGGATTTGTGAGCTCCTCACACAATCCAGCCTGGTTAAACCCAGGATGGATCGTAGGCAGGCCAGCCTAAATGTTTCTAACCGGCGAAGATGTTCCATTAGGGGGGTCCACGTTTCGCAAGCGTAGAGAAGGGAGGGAATGACCGTGGCCGAGAAGACCTGAAGCTTAGTGCGGAGCGACAGACCAGGTAGCTTCCACACAGCGTTACGCAACCGATGAAAAGATATTGCCGCTCGACTGCTCGACTGCTCGACTGGATCTATGCGGCATTCATACGGGTAAAAACAAAATAATCTGTCTATTTGTTTGTGTTTCTCCCTTGTGATGGGACTTTGTGGGATGAACATTGGGGCACGGGGTGACCAATATGGTCTGACTTGGTTTGTAATAGGGTAGGGCACTGATAAGGCGTTGAAAGGTGTGTAGTAGTGTGTAGTGTAGTGGTGTCTGTTGGTGTTTCTCCCTTGCGATGGGATGAACGTTGAGGTTTATAAGGGGTACGGCGTGACCAACAGGGTCTGAATTGGTCTGCAATGAGGTAGGCAGTGGATAAGGCGTTTACAGGTGAGAACAAGCCACACTATGTAACGACTATTGGCCAAATAAGAAACATCCTCGGTGACCCGCCAAGCGGTGTTATCAGCTGTGCCGCTGGCTGGGCAACAAGAGGCGCGCGGTGGAGGTTGGCGATGCGTTTCTGCGGCCGTCTGGAACGCTCTTCCTTCCGACATTAGGAAGCCACTGGCAGCTATGCCACTTTTAAATAATCTTCTAGATTGACAACTAACTTCTTTAGAACTCGTTTTGTGTTTAGTTTGTTGTCCTTCCCCCGTCCACCCCGCACCTCCGATTAGCGCGGTCGGCCACTCACGGTTGTCGGAAGAAGTTCCACGTAACACAACGTACGTACGGCACCTCCCGCGGTACCCCACGGGAAGCGACTTTGACAACATCTGCGCGGTGACCCACCAGGCCCTGTCTCCCAACCTTCCACAGTGCCCGGACTGCAGACAAGCCACGTGCAGTGTGGGGAGCCTTACCACCGTTGGCTCAAAGGACACCGGATCCACAGCTGTCCCTCGCCTCTTTGCTAATTGTCTTTGTGTGTGTGTGTGTGTTTGTTTTTTCTGCGCAGGGTTTTCAAGAAATCCAGCCCAAATGGAAAGGTAGGCCCGCGAACGGCCGACACGCGCCCTCTCAAGCCCGTTATTTTGAGAGGGAGGGACAGTGAGAAGGGGAGAGCGAGTGGGAGGGGGAGAGAGAGTGAGAGGGGTGGGAGAGAGAGTGAGAAGGGGAGAGCGAGAGAGTGAGAGGGGGAGAGCGAGAGGGGGAGAGCGAGAGATTGAGAGCGGGAGAGTGATCGTGAGAGCGAGTGAGAGTGAGAGAGTGAGAGCGAGAGAGTGACAGAGAGAGAGTGATCGTGAGAGCGAGAGAGCGAGAGAATGAGAGAGTGAGAGCGAGAGAGTGAGAGCGAGAGAGTGAGAGAGAGCGTGAGAGAGTGAAAGAGTGAGAGAGTGTGAGAGCGAGAGAGTGAGAGAGTGAGAGAGAGCGTGAGAGAGTGAGAGAGTGAGAGAGTGTGAGAGCGAGAGAGTGAGAGAGTGAGAGAGAGAGAGTGAGAGCGAGAGCGAGATAGTGAGAGTGTGAGGGAGTGAGAGCGTGAGAGCGAGGGAGAGCGTGAGAGTGAGGGAGTGAGAGAGAGCGTGAGAGCGAGAGAGTGAGGGCGAGGGAGAGAGTGATAGCGAGAGAGTGAGAGCGAGAGAGTGACAGAGAGAGAGATAGTGACAGAGAGAGAGTGACAGAGTGAGAGAGTGAGAGCGAGAGAGAGCGTGAGAGAGTGAGAGAGTGAGAGAGTGTGAGAGCGAGAGAGTGAGAGAGTGACAGCGAGAGAGTGAGAGCGAGAGCGAGATAGCGAGAGTGAGAGTGTGAGAGTGATAGTTAGAGAGTGACAGAGAGAGAGATAGTGACAGAGTGAGAGGGTGAGAGCGAGAGAGAGCGTGAGAGAGTGAGAGCGAGAGAGCGAGAGAGTGAGAGAGCGAGCGAGAGAGTGAGAGAGTGAGAGAGAGTGAGAGAGTGAGAGAGAGTGAGAGAGTGAGAGAGAGTGAGAGGGTGAGAGAGAGCGAGAGAGAGTGAGAGAGAGTGAGAGAGAGTGAGAGAGTGAGAGAGAGTGAGAGAGAGTGAGAGTGTGAGAGAGTGAGAGAGTGAGAGCGTGAGAGAGAGAGTGAGTGAGTGAGTGAGAGGGTGAGAGCGAGAGAGAGTGAGAGAGTGAGAGTGAGAGCGTGAGAGAGTGAGAGCGAGAGAGAGTGAGAGCGAGAGAGTGAGAGAGAGTGAGAGAGTGACAGAGTGAGAGAGTGAGATAGCGAGAGAGTGAGAGTGACAGACTGACAGAGTGAGAGAGCGTGAGAGCGAGAGAGTGAGAGCGAGAGAGTGAGGGCGTACATTTGGAAGATGGTAGTCCCATTGAACATGTCGTAAGCTTTCGCGCCCAGCATCGTCCACAATGGAGGCTTTTTTTTTTGGGTTATATCGCTTAAATATAAATGTGTCATTAAACCCGCCACCACACGACACGGCCAATTGCAGGAACACCTTGCACTTTCGTCTGGTGACGGAGCAGAGGGCATGGACGAATGTCAAAGCAGAGCCTGCCTGTTTTGGGCTTGCAAATCAATGTTTGGCCCGGCGAAAAGCGTACACTGCAAATAACAGTGATCGCAAAAAAAAATAAGCGCGGTGTGAATCCTGCACGCGTGTTTTATGGTCGCGAAAATAACTATGAACACTGCGCTATTATGCTGTTATCACACGAGCAACGACGCATCGTTTACAGTGCAATCACAAAAAAATAAGCACAGTGTTGATAATTTGTTACGAACGAGCACGCACGTACAAGGGATGCTCACTGTGAACGACTCCCATTCAATGGTCTGAAGGAGAGAGGACGGCACGTGAAGCGCGGACATGCGTGGAAGGTTTGGGATGAAATCGGACGAAAGAGGAAATTCTGAAATGTGGTTGCAATTGAAAACGGCCCGAAGGAGCGAAGTGCCGAAGGTCCAAGGTGTATCGCTGTAGTCACGGGGTTTGCCGCGTCAACTCAACGTAGCCAATTCGTTTACTGGTACAGCGTGCACCGAGTGTGCGTTCGGATAGCGAAGCCACAACAGTTACTATCCGGTTGTCATTAGTTGTAATCAGCTGGTGAAACGTCATGCTCAGATTGCAAATGGATGCTCGCTAAAATGCTGGGTTTCGGTTTCGGGGGGGTGGGGGGCGGGGGAGAGGGGCAGGGGTGGTAATAGGGGGGGGCCCTCGTGTAGGTGACGCTGACCTAACGAGGCCCCGCGGTGGCAAGGAGATGTTTGACTACCTCGCCTGGTATACAGGAGGTCGTGGGTTAGATCCCGACTCTTGACGATGCCTGCTGCATGTTTGGTTTTTGTGTGTGTGTCTCTCATCATCATCACAGTGGCTCGGAGATGTTAACTACCTTGCCTAGTATACAGGAGGTTGTGGGTTCGATCCAAACCCTCACGATGCCTGCTGCTGTATATTTGGAGTTTGCGTGTCTCTCTCTCATCATCATCATCATCACCACAGTGGCTAGGAGATGTTAACTACCTCGCCTGGTATACAGGAGGTCGTAGGGTTCGATCCAAACCCTCACGATGCCTTCTGTATATTTGGAGTTTGCGTGTCTCTCATTATCATCATCCTCATCATCACAGTGGCTAGGAGATGTTGACTACCTCGCCTGGTACACATGAGGTCGTGGGTTCGATCCCGACCCTGACGACGCCTGCTGCTGCTGTATATTTGGAGTTTGCGTGTCTCTCATTATCATCATCATCATCACAGTGGCTAGGAGATGTTAACTACTTCGCCTGGTATACAGGAGGTCGTGGGTTCGATCTCGACCCCTGACGATGCCTGCTGTATATTTGGAGTTTGCGTGTCTCTCTCATTATCATCATCATCACAGTGGCTAGGAGATGTTAACTACCTATCCTGGTATACAGGAGGTCGTGGGTTCGATCTCGACCCCTGCTGCTGCTGCTGTATATTTGGAGTTTGTGTGTCTCTCTCATTATCATTATCATCATCACAGTGGCTAGGAGATGTTAACTACCTCGCCTGGTATACAGGAGGTCGTGGGTTCGATCTCGACCCCTGCTGCTGCTGTATATTTGGAGTTTGTGTGTCTCTCTCATTATCATCATCATCATCATCACAGTGGCTAGGAGATGTTAACTACCTCGCCCGGTATACAGGAGGTCGTGGGTTCGATCTCGACCTCTGACGATGCCTGGTGTATATTTGGAGTTTGCGTGTCTCTCTCATTATCATCATCATCACAGTGGCTAGGAGATGTTAACTACCTCGCCTGGTATACAGGAGGTCGTGGGTTCGATCTCGACCCCTGCTGCTGCTGCTGTATATTTGGAGTTTGCGTGTCTCTCTCATTATCATCATCACAGTGGCTAGGGAGATGTTAACTACCTCGCCAGGTATACAGGAGGTCGTGGGTCTCTCTCTCTCTTTCCCCATTTAGAAACAAAGAAACGCGTTTGAAGAGTATTTGGCTACCGCTATAAATTTGCACGCGGTCGTGATGACGACGATGATACGAAGCCGCCACTTCGTCGAGTCGTCGTTCGTGACAGCGAGGCGTCGCTTCGGGAAATAGAGAACCGCACAGCTCAGTTGGTGGGGTGGGGGGAGGGGCGGGCTCACACCCGACACGTGGTGAAATGGAAGTTAAAAAGTTGAGTTCGTTTTAGTTTAACAGCACTTGGCAGTCTGTCGGGGGCTGCAGGGCGGGGGGGGGGGGATCCTAATTTTTCTTTGGAGGCGCCACTTAGACGTCCAGCGAGACGTTGGGGGGGGTTGGGGGTGTGAAGAGCGATGGGAGGGTGTGAATGTGAGCACGCCCGCAGACACCGTTATGCTTTTAGCCGTGTCGCTCGAATGTCGTCGCCTCGTCACGCTGACGGCCGTGTGGGAGATCTTACCGGAACATAATCCCCACCCCTCCACCCCCCCCCCCCCCCCCCCCCCCCCCAAGACGGACAGACAGACACAGAGAGAGAGAGAGAAAGAGGGAAAGCGTGAGTGAGCTAGGGAGAGAGAGAGAGAGCCAGAAAGAGAGAGACCAGGAGAGCGAGAGAGTGAGATGGAGCGAGGGAGAGAGAGAGTGCGAGAGAGTGCGAGAGGGAGAGCGAGAGAGAGTGAGGGAGAGCGAGAGAGAGAGAGAGATAGACCAGGAGAGCGGAGAGACCAGGAGGTGACCGGGAGAGTGAGATGGAGCGAGGGAGAGAGAGGGAGAGCCAGTGAGGGAGAGCGAGAGAGATAGAGAGACCAGGAGAGCGGAGAGACCAGGAGGTCACCGGGAGAGTGAGATGGAGCGAGGGAGAGAGAGAGAGAGAGTGCGAGAGGGAGAGCGAGAGAGAGTGAGGGAGAGCAAGAAAGAGAGATAGACCAGGAGAGCGGAGAGACCAGGAGGTGACCGGGAAAGTGAGATGGAGCGAGGGAGAGAGAGAGTGCGAGAGAGTGCGAGAGGGAGAGCGAGAGAGAGTGAGGGAGAGCGAGAGAGAGAGATAGACCAGGAGAGCGTAGAGACCAGGAGGTGACCGGGAGAGTGAGATGGAGCGAGAGAGAGAGAGAGAGTGCGAGAGAGAGAGAGTGAGGGAGAGCGAGAGAGAGAGATAGACCAGGAGAGCGGAGAGACCAGGAGGTGACCGGGAGAGTGAGATGGAGCGAGGGAGAGAGAGAGGAGAGAGAGTGAGGGAGAGAGTGAGGGAGAGCGAGAAAGAGAGAGACCAGGAGAGCGTAGAGACCAGGAGGTGACCGGGAGAGTGAGATGGAGCGAGGGAGAGAGAGAGAGCGAAGGAGTGCGAGAGGGAGAGCGAGAGAGAGTGAGGGAGAGCGAGAGAGAGAGATAGACCAGGAGAGCGGAGAGACCAGGAGGTGACCGGGAGAGCGTGAGTGAGCTAGGGAGAGAGAGAGAGAGCGAGAGAGAGAGCAAGAGAGAGAGCGAGAGAGAGTGAGAGAGAGCGAGAGAGAGAGAGACCAGGAGAGCGGAGAGACCAGGAGGGACCGGGAGAGTGAGATGGAGCGAGGGAGAGAGAGAGCGAGTGCGAGAGGGAGAGCGAGAGAGAGTGAGGGAGAG